AAGCTCAGAGACAGCGCCCAGGACCTGAGTTCAAACCCCAGGACTGGCAAAAACAACAACAACAACAGCAACAACCCAGAAAAGCTTCTAAGAGCTGCAAGCTTTGTTTAATGAGCATCTACTAGGTGCTAGTGCTTCTCGATGGAGAGTGGATTTTCCTGTCTTTTTTCATTGTTTTGGCCTGTAGAATATTTCAGCATTAAAATAAGAGCGTATCATTCTTTTATCGTCAGAAACAAAACAAAACAAAAACCCATGCCTTTCCACAAAAACAAGATCAGAGCTGGGCGCCAATGGCTCACGCCTGTTACCCTAGCTACTCAGGAGGCTGAGATCTGAGGATCAGAGTTCAAAGCCAGCCCAGGCAGACACATTGAAGAGACCCTTAGCTTCGGTGAACCAGCCAAAAACAAAAACAAGAAAACCCCCTGGCAAGTGGGGGTGTGGCTTCAGTGCTAGAGCACCAGCCTTGAGTGAAATAAAGCAAAAAGACAGTAGCCAGGTCCTGAGTTCAAATCCCAGTATGCATGCGCACACACACACACAATTGAAGCAAGGTGACCCATAGCAAGGCCCTGGGTTTCTGGTGTGTGGTCTGAAGCTTGCTGTTGGGGGTCTGCAGGGACATTGGGGGGGGTGATATCGCACCCCTCCTCTGAGCCCCCGGCTGTAACCCTTTGCTCCTGACAGCACTGCTGAGCGCCTCCACTCTTCTATCTCTTAGATTAGTCCCTGCTATTTTTATTCTGCTCTGGCCTAGGAAAATAGCACAGACTAGGCGAACCCTCCCCCCCTGCCCCCCCCGCCCCCCGGCCAGGGCAGGGGTCCATGGAAACCCAGGATTCATTCTGGAAGAAAAAAGCAACTTGTCTTAGTGTCTTAAAAACCAACAAACCAAAACTTCAACTAAAATTATTTTATCCCCCGCCCTTTTTTTTTTTTTTCCTTCTTGGAAGCATCTAGAAGGCTCCCCCCAAAAGTCATCTCCATAAGTCATTTCTAGCACCTTCTTGCCTAGCAGCATGGGTGCCAAAAAGAGAATTCTCCTCCTCTGGGTTCAGGTGGGCAGGGAAGGGGCGGCAGGACTTTGGGAGCTGGAGCTGGGAGAAATGGAGGAATGGAGGAAAATATGGCTTTTGCTGGTGGCTCGCGTCTGGAGGCCGAGATCGGAGGCCAGCCCGGACAGGAAAGTTTGTGAGATTCTCCACTGAGACACCAGCAAAACAAAAACAACCCAAACTAAAACAAACAGCCTTGAGGTAAGCAGCTCAGGGACAGCGCTCAGGCCTTGAGAAACAACACCCCAAATGCTACCACTAGAGGCTGTCATCCTAGCCACTGAGGAGGCCGGGATCTGAGGATCACGGTTCGAAGCCAGCCCAGACAGGACAGTCCGTGAGACTCTCCCGAGAGCCACCCAAAAGCAGGAGCGGCGGTGTAACTCAGGAGGTAGAGCGCCAACCTTGAGCGAAAAAAGCTAAGGGACAGTAATCGGCCCCCAGCTTGAGCCCCAGCAGTGGTGCACACGTACACACACGCACACCCCCAAACCGAGGGAGGTGAGTAGAGGAACAGGGAAATGGGGGGGGGTAGGATGCAGTCATACTAGCGAATGCATATCCGATGCAACCGGGAAAACTGAGGGGAAGGGCGGGGCAAAGGTAAAAGGGGTGCCTTGTATTCGCCGACTGCGTGGAACCCCTTGGTACGATCACTTGTGTGTGTGTGTGTGTGTGTGTGTGGCCAGGCCTGGGCGCTGTCCCTGGGCGGCTGCGGCTCAGGCCAGCGCTCCACCCCGGGAGCCGCAGCGCCGCTGGCGGCTTTTTCTGCCTGTGTGGTGACTGAGGACTCGAACCCAGGGCTTCGCGCAAGCGAGGCCAGCACTGGACCGCCCAGCCCCGAAAAAGATAATTAAAAACAAAACAAGCGCGCATACGCACGCGTGCACACACACA